GAAATCAGCCCTGAGTGCTCACTGGAAGGACAGATCCTGAAGCTGAGGCTCCAGCACTTTGGCCACCTCATGAGAAGAGAAGACGCCCTGGAAAAGACCCTGATGTTAGGAAAGATTGCGGGCACAAGGAGAAGGGGACGACAGAGGAAGAGATGGTTGGACAGTGTTCTCGAAGCTACCAGCATGAGTTTGACCAAACTGCGGGAGGCAGTGGAAGACAGGGGTGCCTGGCGTGCTCTGGTCCATGGGGTCACGAAGAGTTGGACACGACTAAACGAATAAACAACAACAACTGTTTGACCAGAGCAGCCTTTTCTAAACCATAATCCAGGCAACCCAAACAGCAGCCACAGCAACTCAGGCCCCCGTCAAGAAGGTGGCAGGCAAACTCTGCACAGCTTTCTGGCCACAGCAGCTTCAGTGTGAGCCAAGTCTTCTCACTGTCAGCAGCAGCGGTGTCTGGATTTTCATGTAGCGATGGGAACCTACCTCGTAGGTAGCCATGCTTTCGTTGCTAGATTTTGCTTGCAAAAGACGAAGCCAGGTGGTTTGCCCAAGTTAGCAGCACAACATGTTTTCAGTTGTGGGCGCCACAATTTAAGAAGGACATTCACAAGCTGGCAGGTGTGCAGAGGAGGGCAACCAAGACGATCAAGGGTCTGGAAAACAAGCCTTATGAGGAACGGTCATGGAGGGAGCTGGGTATGTCCAGCCTGGTAATGAGGAGACTGAGAGGAGATACGACAGCCATCTTCAGATATCTAAAGGACTGTCACAAGGAGAATGGAGCAAGTTTGTTTTCTCCTGCTCTGGAGGATAGGTCGTGCACCAATGGATTCAAGTTACAAGAAAGGAGATTCTGACTAACATCAGGAATAACCTTCTGGTGGTAAAAACTGATTGGCGGTGGAACAGGCTCCCTTGGAAGGTTTTGGACTCTCCTTCCTTGGAGATTTTTTAGATGGATGGTCATTTGTCATGGATGCTTTAGCTGAGATTCCTGCATTGCAGGCACTAGATGACCCTCAGGTGCCTTCTAACTCTGCAGTCCTATGGTTCTATGATTATATGAACATCTGGTGGGCCAAAGATCCCCCACCCCTCCTCTAGTCCTTTATGATCCTTCTCCCCCCTTCTCCTTTGCAACTCCAATGTCAGAGGTGCAAAGGAAAATGGGGAAGGATTGGAAGGGCTTTCAAAGCCTCTCCATGTGGCGCCTAGGTGGCTCCAAGCTCGGAGGTGCAAGAAGCCATGCAGGGCAGCTCCAAAGAGCTCTGCTGGGAGGGAGAAGCCGTTTCCAGAAATTGCATCCCCTTCCTTGACCAAAAGATGCTTCTATGTCTTTTTGCTGTCCACCACAGCCAAGGGAGATGAAAGGTTGGCCTGGCAGCAGGAGGAGAGCAGGAAGAAGGCCACAAGCGCCGACCAGTTGGGGATCTTCTGTTGCAGAAACGGATTACCAGGCTGGCCTGCCACTGCTCATCGCCACCTTCCTGTGCTCCTACAGGAACTCATGCTCCTATTTAGCCATGGAAGTAGAAGCATAAGCTCAAACTCCTCAAGTTGACTAGGGAGGAGTAAGGTGGCTCGTAGCAGCACCAGGCAACCTGGGGCTTTGGATCCCGGGGACAGGAATTCTAGGACTGGCAGCTGGAGGAGCTAGTAGAGTAGGGCAGCTGCTAGGGATCTCCTGGAGTTTGTTTTGGGTGCTCCTGGGCCATTCATCCACTGCCTTTTGAATGGGTTTACTCTACAGCACCCCCTGTCGATGGCTCAGTGAACTGCAGCATGACAACACCCTTACATGTTTATTATACTTAAGGCAAACTGCTTGCATCAAGCCTTGCCCATGATGAGCTGGAGATTGAGACCTGAAACGTGAAAGTTTGTGCTTGGAAAAGCTTCCGATGCTTTCTTTTTGTGCCTCAGGACCACGATTAATCATTTTAAGCAAGAATAAATAAACTGCCCTTTACATTTTCAAAGCCTCTTATGAACATTAAATATGCAGTTCACACATCTCTGTTATCCAGAAGAAACAGCTACGGTGAAAAAACTCCTCTTCTCCCTGTGCGCCGAAAATGTCACCATTCATAATAATACCCCTAATCTCTACTGGCCAGGAACTGAGAGAGACCAATTGTTGTTCAGGCTGGGCTGTTAACAAATGCGAAGGGAAGTGCCATGCATTTTCCAGAAACTGTCCCCCGCTCCTCCTGTGATGCATGCATGCCATTGCATGTGAATCTTGTGCTTGTTCAGACAATCCAATACCTCAGGTTGGCAGCCATTAAGCTTGTTTTAGATGGAGCCCTGGTTCTCACTAAAAGGAGCTCATGGATGTGGTGGCTATGCATTACCTCCGATTTACAAAAAGAACAAAGCAATTCAATTATTTAAAAATAAAATAAAATTAGCAATACGCTTAAAACATACATCAACATTCTACCAAGCCTTGTAGGCTTGTCTCAACAAAAATGTTTTTAGAGGCACCGAAAAGAGTACAGTAAAGTCGTTTGCCTGATGTCAACAGGCAGGGAGTTTCAAAGTTTGGTGGTATCAATGCACAACAGGCATTATGTTGGCACCTGTAACAATGCCAGTTCCACAAGGCTCCTCTTGTGAGCATCGTTGAGAGGGGAAGAGAGTACACCATACTGATGTCCATCCCTCATTTTAACCCCTGAACTGCTGACATCAAAGGCCGTAGCAGCCAGCAGGGTGGGGAGGGGTGGGGCAGAGCAGTATTGCTCACTGAGCATTGTTGCTGTTTCCTGAGAGGGAGAGGGACCAGGGAGACGGGTGAGGCATGGTGGGAGCTCAGCACGGTGCAAGCACGGTGGCAGGAAGCATGGTTCCGCTGCCGTGCCTTCACCGACCATGGCAGCTTCCTGCACCTCGCACCCCCTTCTCTCAGGAACCAGCAGCAACACTTGGTGCTTGGAAGGCAGATGAGGAACACTGCCCTGCCTGTGCTGCCCCACCAATCACTACAGATCAGGAGTAGCCGATGTGTTGCCCTTCAGATGTTTTGAACTACAGCTTCCATCAGCTTCACTCAGCCAGCCCAGCCCATGATCAGGGATAAAGGATGCTGTAGTCTAAAACATCGGGAGTATACCATAAAGGTTGACATAATCCAGAAAGCAGGGCCCTTCCACCAAATGCTACACTTGTGCTAGAGATTATAATTTACTAGTTCTGGTAGTGTCTGTGACTCCCAGTTTGTGTGCTCCAGCACTTGAAGTGGGAGAGTGTACAGTTCCGTTCCATCCCCCATAGTGCATGAAAACCTTTATTTGGGCCCCTGGAGAGTTGCTGGACCAGGGATGGAGATTTTCAAGGCTCAGGGGCCAGATAAGACGCCCTAGGTGTCTCTCATTGGCCCTCAGGACTCTCACCAGCCTGGCTCTCACTTGCTGTCCTGTTTTTTACTTTTTGAAATATGACAGCCCTACTCACCACCCCTTCTTTTGCAACCTCCTTGGGTGTTTTTTCCTATGTGTAAAGTGTCCTTGAACTCCAACAATGGCTTTTGCCTGCCTGGGTGGAAGTCCTTGTGTGTACAAGAATGTGTAGAGCCTAGGCTGCTATGGAAAGTTAAAATGCACATTCTGCCCACCGCTGGCATGTGGCCCCTGGATGATCGTCCGGAAGAGAAGGTGGCCCCCGGCCTGCAAAAAGTTCCCCACCCTTGAGGTAGATAGTACTTAGATTAGCTGGGCAAGCAGCGTGCCCTGGTATAATGCATCACCCTGTACTCTGGAACAAAATATTTGTTTTAAATGCCAAAGAAGGCAACGCGATCTTTCGCCTGTGCAATCTGCCTCCGCAACCGGCATCTGTTATTTTCTCAGGAGGCATTTATTTGCGAAGAGCACAACCTGAGTTAAAGGTAGCGCAAGAAGTACCATTTATGGATTTAAGTTGAATTGCTTAATGAGTTGGTTGGAAATCTATCTCTCTCGGTTGTGCAGCTCAGTATTGCACCAAAGATTCCTAAGAATGCTTCCCCCACCCCCAATCCACTTCACTCCCCCCCCCCCCGAGTACTTGGAGATTGCAAACCGCCACGTTATCGCTGCGGGGCTGGAGGTGAATTAGTAAAATGTGCTGCAGAACTCCTTGAAGCTTGCAGCAGAGGTTGCCTTCTGCATGCGTTCTTGTGCTGTTCTGATTCAGCTCTTTCCCCTCTTATAGATCTGGACTTGGCAGCAATGAGGTGTGATTAGAATATACAGAGCTGCTTTCACACACACAGAAAAGTCACCGCTTGGAGTGATTTCCTCTCCCTTTAAAGCTGCTGTTGAACGAAATTGATGCACAATATTCTTCCACGCTACGGTTGTTCTCAGCCTTCGAAGGCATGCTAAGAATGACGAGCGGCTTCCTGAAAGCCTTTTGATATTAGCAGCACCTCCTGGGAGCAGTGCATATGTTGTTGTTGTTTGCTACTTATGGTAGATGCTTGTTTTTATTTTATTTCCCTCATTCTGGAAAGCTAGGCTCCGGCTAATGCTATAGCAACTGAGGCAGAGGTAGCGAGCAGGAAATCCATTTCTGTCTTTGAGGCTTACCATATTGTCGGGAGAAAGATGGCTCCGCGGCGTTCTCTATTTGACATCTATTTATATTTGCACACAAGGATAAGCACAGTGCAACCTTCTGTTTCGCCCTACAGCAGCAAGTGTTGCATGCAGAAACGAAAAGTCAACATTTAATCCTCCGGAATGAAGGGAAGTGCAGCTAACAGTACTCAAACCAACTCGTGCATGCTTGTGCTGGAAGTACTGTAGCAGTTAATTATATATTGCTGGCATATACTGCATCTTCTCCCCATCATGCTGAAAACGTCCGTGGTGCTACTACTCATCCAAGCTGGAAATGTAGGGAAGTTTCCTTCTACTGAGTCACATCACTGACACAGCTGGCTCTGTACTGCCTCCACCGACTGGCAGCTGGTCTCCAGGATCCAGGAAGGGGAGATTCCTAGCTTTAGCTGTAGATGCCAGGGATCGAGACCGGGACCTTCTGCATGACAAGCAGATGCTTTTAACACCGAGCTATCGCCCTTCCCCATTGTGTAGCTAACCGAGTTAGTTCTGGGAAGATGCCTTCAACTCATGGTAGGAAGCCCCTTTCAGGAATCAACATGGGCATTGTACCACCTTGGGGCTGCATCCATGTTCATCCCTGAAAAGGACTTCATTGCTGTTGTTGGCATCCGTCTGTCTCAAGAGACAGTGGAGTGCACCTCCGGGGGTGAAGCCAAACTTCTGCATGAACAGCACCAAAGTGGCCTCCCCAGGGTGTGCTGGGCCCGGGGGTAACCCGAGCAACGTGGTCCAGGTCAGGTCCCATATCCAAGGGTTCCACGAGGAGTCAGTCCGACAGAGCCAAGGCAGGACACGAGGTAGGGAACCAGGCAAGGTCAGGCACAGGATCACAGGCAGGTTCTGGCAAACAGCAACAATGCTCCCACAACATGGGGCAGGGTCCAGCTGCCTTTTATCTCTGTCAGGGTAACGGTTGGTCCAGATCCCCCGGTGTCTCACCTCCCTGTCTCGTCTGAAGGTGAACACTCCTCCTGTGAGTACTCAGGTCTCTCCTTTTCTCAGACCTCAGTCTCTGCAGCTCAGGAGATGAGGCCGCCTCAGCCTCTCCTGACCAAACTGGTAGTGGAGCAATTGTAAGTGATTGCCCAGCTGAAGGCAACAAGGCCATCCCCGCATCTGGAGCCAGGGCAGGCTCAGGCCCCTGACTCGGCCCAGCTGGTGAGAGCCAGTGTGGTGTAGTGGTTAAGAGCGGTAGTCTCGTAATCTGGGGAACCGGGTTCGCGTCTCCGCTCCTCCACATGCAGCTGCTGGGTGACCTTGGGCTAGTCACACTTCTTTGAAGTCTCTCAGCCCCACTCACCTCACAGAGTGTTTGTTGTGGGGGAGGAAGGGAAAGGAGAATGTTAGCCGCTTTGAGACTCCTTAAAGGGAGTGAAAGGCAGGATATCAAATCCAAACTCTTCTTCTTCTTCTTCTGGTGCTTGTTGCAGGGGAACCTGTGCAGAGTCCGAGCCCGAGCCCCAGGCCATCACACCGGGCACAAGCCTGGGTAGTGTATATGGAGGTTCTGGGCTGCCCAGATGACAAGACTCTCGGTCTCGCTGATGTGGTCCAAAGGAAAGCAGAGAAATACATTTGGCACCAGCTTGCATGCAGGAGTTGCCGGAGGGAGGCGTACGACGCACCATTCAACCACCCTGAGGACTCCATTCCAGATTTGTGTAGGCAGCGGAGGTTTAGGATCAGAGTTTTCCTTCTCCTAGATGTGCTACCATACCTGGTTAACATAGTGGGGTAGGAAAACTGGGGCGGGGAGTGGGAATTGCATCTGCACAATAGTACATGGGTAGATGAGTCTAAGAAGCCTGGGACACAAATTGTCACAGCCCTCTAGCATTTATAGTGGCTCATTTACCAGAAGTAATGTATTTAGTGTTAACTCTGGAAGGGTATACTCGACTCTGACCCAACTAAGCTTCCTGGTGTATATTTTGTCCCGCCGACCCCTCACTTCCCTCTACAGCAGATGCAGAAACCACCTTCCTGACCATTGGACCTCACAATTGGTCTCTTCTGCTGAACCTGCCGGAGTCTGTCTTTGCATGCAGTGGAGGTCCCTAACTCCCTGAGGGTTTGAGACCCACTGGCTACCCTCACCTGGTTTAGCTGGCCAGTTGAAGCCGTTTCCTGGGATGTGGCTGCTGTCCCATGGAGACAGCTTCCAGGAGCCACCACTCTGAGGTCTACGGATGAAGGGTGGAATGCAAATTGAACGAATGAATGAATGAATGAATAAATAATGTATTTGTTGTCTTTGTGTTTTTAACTGATTTTAGTTATTTATTCTTTCAATTAATTATTATACCCCTACTTTGTTTGCTAGAGGGGGCAGGCCTTTATTATGGTTCTCAGCAGAATGGACCACTGCTGGCACCCACAGCAATGCACGAATACCTGCTATACAAAGATAAACATATATATATATATTTCTTGCCCCCTTCATGTTGCGTCTGGCCCTACTGCTTGCAAGTTGCCCTCCTGAAGGCTGCTCAGAAGAAAACACACCCCATAGGACGAAAAAGGTTCCCCATCTCTGAGTTACAGAAAAGGAACGTTTTGACTCCATGCAGTTTCTGGAAATAAGAACGAAGGATTCCAAGTTTATCAGTGTTGCTCTGGGAACATAATCAGGTAATTAAGCAGCTCAGCATCTAGGGATTAATTCAGATGGGAGGCTTTCACGACTATCCCTACTGCTTAGTCAATCAATTAATTGATTACATTTCAATAGCAGTTAGGCATCTTATGCTGATTCCCTTTTCTGGCTTCTCCTACAAGCAGATGGTCCATTGTTGCCTTGCTAGCTTGCCCTTCAGCCCGACGGTGCTGTTAACTGAATGACAGGCTGGTTCATCTCAAAAGCTTCACACATCACACATCAGTGGCTTAAAATGCAGCGAGGTCATTTCTTTCTGCTGTGTTTCGAGTTCTTTTTGTGTGTTGCTGTACACACCAGAGAGTGGGGTGGGGATGCCTCCCCCCAATTTCTTTCCCCATGAAGCAACTTACATTTTTGAGTTGGATAGAAGTTGGTTGAATGGGAAACGCATCACAGAACAGTATGTGATGGCCTGGGATTCGGACTCGGATGCTGAACCTGAGGGATCCCAGCCTGCACAGGATTCCCCACCTCCAGAACCAGCTGAGCCGGGGCTGGGGCCTGAGCCTGAAGGGTCCTCACCTGTGCTGGATCCTCAGGTGCAGGCGTCAGCTGAGTCTGCTCTGGCTCCTGAGGTGATGGAGGACCCATTGCCTGCAGGCGCTCCACTCTCAGCCCCGTCAGAGGAAGCTGGGGTTGCCTCTGGGTCCGGTAACCCTCCAGCGTCTCCTGAGCTGCAGAGGCTCAGGGCAGAGAGGCGGAGGGAACTAAGTTCCCACAGAAGGAGTGCTTGCCTCCAGGCCAGGAGAGGCGAGTCACCAGAGGATCGGGGCTGCCCTATGCCTCGGGGCAGATAAAAGCCGGCCAGCCCCAGTCCCAAGTTGTGGGAGCAACGTTGTTGGTTGTTAGTTCCTGCCTGGACCCTGTCCTGCTTACCTGCCTGAGCTCCTCACCTGCCCTGGCTCCCTGCTTGCATGCCTGTACCTGACTTCACCCGACTCCCTGCCCTGCACCCAGCTTCAGCTTCTACGGACTGCCTCCATGTTGCACCTTTGACCACGGACTGGACTTGGACCTCGCCTCTCGGGTAACCCACGGAACCAGCACACTATTTCTCAAGAAGCTACAGGACACATATCCTTGTTTGCAACCCCAGTCCCTGAGAGCCTCCAGGGGTTCAGCTTCCTTGGAATGAAGGTCAGCGGAGATTGGTGTCATTAGGATATATGGTTTCATTTACTGTCATGGCCTGGTTGGACACAGAGGAATGGCGGGAGGAACCAACTGGGGAACCACCAAGGGGAGAAGGCTCAGAGCCAGGGGACTGGTGGTGGGACCACAATGAGTGATCATGGGGAGAAGAGGAGGAAGGCAAGGAGAGAAGCCCAGAATCAGAGGTTGGGGAGGAGGGGGGGCCAAAAGGCAGAGATGAGTCAGGCTGGTGAAGAAGCCACGGTGTCTCCCCCTCCTGCTGCGACCAGCTCCTCTCCCCCTGGTTTCCCAGAACCAGAAAAGGTATGAAAAGCGTGGAGCAGAGACATACACGTTGATGGAGTCTCAGATTGCTTGGGAAGGACCTGGGAGAGGAGGAGACTTAGGTGACTGTGGGAAGATGGCGACCTTCAGTCCCTACAACTACCTTAAAGAGGCAATATCTACCAGGGTGTTGTGCTCACTAGGCCTGGCCTCCTGAGCAGACCTTAAATAAAGAGTGAATTTCATTGATGCTGTGTGGTTGATTGCTGACCGGCTCTCCTGACACCCACTCCTAGCACTGCCTTAGAGAATGAAAATGTTTTTTTAAAACTGCACATGTCCTCCTTAGATATTTTAAAACCTGAGAAAAACAAAGAAGTCTAAATGGCGGATGCTTTCTCCTCTGGACTGTTCTTTTTAAAAAAAAAAAAATGACACACAGAGATGGAAACTGAAAACAGAAGAATGGTTCTCCTTCTGGAATCTTCTGCCTGAACCAGCTGCTTCCCATTGCTTTAGAGGAGAGATGAAGAGACTGCGCCCCACCAGGCTTTGTGGCACTCCAACTACCACCATCCCTGACCATGGACTATGCTGGCGGGGGCTGATGGGAGTTGAAGTCCAAGAATATCTGGAGGGCCACCCCATCTCTCCTTCACAATAATGCTGGGCTTGCGGATCCCCTCAGAATAAGGCAAGGTCTTTAGAACTGTTGCGTAGTACAGTGGTGCCTTGGGTTAAGTACTTAATTCGTTCCGGAGGTCCATTCTTAACCGGAAACTGTACTTAACCTGAAGCACCATTTTAGCTAATGGGGCCTCCCGCTGCCGCCGCGCCGCCGGAGCACGATTTCTGTTCTCGTCCTGAAGCAAAGTTCTTATCCTGAAGCACTATTTCTGGGTTAGCGGAGTCTGTAACCTGAAGTGTATGTAACCTGAGGTACCACTCTATCTACATTTGGTGCTCTTTTATGCAATTTGTGTTTATTTTTTAACTCGCTACCTCGACGTTGTTTTAATATGGTTTGGCATTTAGCTTTAATGGTTGTTGTTTTTAAAGAAGAGAATGCAAATTGCCTTTGTTTGATAATGTTATTGATTGAATGCTCCCAAATGAATCTGCCTGCCTCCCAGCTCATTAAAGCTTGGGCTGAGTTCTTCTTCTTCTTTTTGCTATCGTATTTTCACTGTGGACTGGGTCCCCTGAACAGCTTTATTGAAAGGAGCACTGCTGTTGTGCTAGTGTACTGTGAATATCCCTTTTATCAGAGGTGGAGGAAGGCAGGGGCTGAAAATGTTAATAAAACACAATCTGATGCATTTAAAAGGACTTTGCAAAAACAAGACTTGCTCAAATTACAGAGAATCGCATTTTCAAAG